TTTTATTCGTAGGCCTGGAGGCAAGGTCTAGCCTAGGTAACATCGTTTATTTGTTCATAACATACGTTTATTGAGTGTTATGTACGTATTAGGTCAAAGGTCACCACAAATTTAACCCAACCTCAATTTTACGAATCCCCGATTTACGTACGCCCTCCAGTCCCTTACAAGTATTTGCAAGTATACTATATACTGTATTATACTGATAATCTAAAATCACAAATTAATTTTTTGACTATATTTTAAATTCATTCTTCAAACTAGTACAATTATTATTACTATTTTTATCATTTCATTTGGTATATTTCTGAATACATTCAGACTTCAAAAATGAAATTAATTTAAATAGCAATTCAATTAAGCTAAAATTTCTCATTGGTTAATTTCTGGACTTAATCCTCTGAATGAACTTTGACCCTTACAGATTTAGAATTCCCATGTGTCCAGCTGGAAGTTGAAGCTTGTTATGTGTGATCCAAGTTTAGGTGTTAATATTACATGCACCACTTAGAGCCCAATCACACTTGAGAGTTACGTTGGCCCAGGGCCGCCTCAGGGCCGGCCCAAGTTCGCTCTGATTGCTCGATTTTAACATCTTATCATTCATTCGAACATTCATTCGAACTGACTTGCGCGAAAAAACACCATTGAGAAATAAAATTGTTAAGGAAACTGTAAAGTAATTTGTATTTAGTTGAACTATTGTTTTTGAATAAAAGTTTTTATATAAGGTCTCCATATGCCTAACTAATTATTACTCACAGCCTCCGTGCGAAGCATAAGCATCACCACAAACCAAGTTGTAGGCATGGGGAATACCACGTGATACAAAGCTTACGCATGGGCAGTTTGACAGATGACGACTTTCTTTTCTACGGTTTAAAGAATTCCAGTAGATAAAAAAATATATTGGCCTATTACAAGCTCAAGAAACCCCGTTTTTGTATAGTACACATTAATTTAACAAGTTTATAGTCTAAAATTATAACACTGTATAGCGGTATCATTTTTTCTGTGAATGTCATCCTCACCAACCACGTGCGTTTTGTGTCGACGTTCGCGAAGCTACTCATGTGACCCTGAGGACAGAAAAAAACATAATCGTTTGTTTTTGTTATGAGAGAAGCTGGTTCTAAAAGTGTCAAAAATTGTTTGTGAATGAACCTAATATGAAAATAATTATTATTGCCAAATAGATAGATCTCGATGCTACTTATTCACAATCAGTGTCTCCGGTCTGTGGCCGAACATTGACAGCAATATAGGC